GTGTGTGTGTGTGTGTGCGTGCGCCTGCCCCTTCTATATTTCTTCTGGTCTGTGTTATGTGCACCATCAGCCCCTTGGGCTATGGCCCAAACACAGACAAGCCAATAAAGCAGGTCAGATATATTGGGTGGGTGTAGTAGAGACCTGTTGACAAACCACTGGGGACATTTAAGGAGGCTGTGATTTCTGTGCTATAGATTTAATTCAGATCTTCATTCTGATACAACATTGGATTCTGTTTTTGTACTTTTGTTGACTTTAAAAGTATATAAGGACAGTTTGATTCATATATAACTGTCTGTTATTAAAATCAACAGGAGATGGCTCTAATTTTTATCTAAAAATCTTTTATCTCCCTTATGAGACATTGTTGCTTCCTTAGTGAGAATAGTTAAAGTACAATCATTCTTAGCATAGTTATATTTGTATCCATGTCCATTCTGACTCAGTCTCTTCCATGAACATTTCAGCTACACATGACCACGTAATCTCTAAAGGTAAAAAAGAAGATCAAAGTATTAAAATTGAATCATCTTAGACAGCAAATCACTTCATGAACCCACCTTGTTGTGTAATTGTTGAAGAAGAGGAGGCAGAAGAAAGCTGCAGGGGAGGAAGACCTACGTCGCTGTTGAGTAATGAGCTGCCATCGCTGTCAGAGACTCCACTTGGTACCTGGACCAGGCTGTAGCCACCCAGCTGCAGAGCGCCTGATGGGGAGCTGAATGTCAGAACGGAGGAGCCGCCATTCTGGGCAGCCATGGTGTGAACCCCTTCCAGCTTCACCTCTGACCCATTCACACAGCCAGCGTAAGATGCATATGGCAGGGTGGACTCCTCAGCATTCCCTAGTCCTTTGTCCTGTCCTGTCTGCATCTGCATGTCTACTCCAGAGCCCCCCAGCAGCACCCCTCCAGAGGGTCTCAGAGGGTTAAATGCCAGGGGCTGGATGCCCAAATTGAGCCCGTTGAAGAGGATGTTTCCAGGTGAGTGGAGGTAAGATGATCCACCATTGTGAAATACAGTAGAGGGCGTGTTACTGGTCACTAGACTTCCATTGTAGAGACCGCCACTGCTGGATCCAGGAGGCATCTTGATGTCCCCGATCTGTTGGATGACCACCCCACTGTCCAGAGGTCCCGTCTGAATAGGAAGGTTCCCGTGGGTTATCACCCCATCTGAAGAATTGGAGAGAGGACGAGGAGACAGCTCCTCCTGGCCTTTACTGGACTCATCCTCTGTGCTGTGGTTTCCATCTGATTCACTGTAGAAAAAGAGGAGGGAGAAAGATGGCAAATGGTGTGTAACAAAACAGAGGAAAATAAAAAGGGAAAATTTGTGTACCATTTGTAATATGTTTCTGGGAAGGAAGAACACTATAAACACTGACACAATTAGACCATAAACTCGTATAATGGAATTCATTTCATTTCCACCCACATTTTGCTTTTAAGCCAGAGCACACAGACTCACATTTATTGCTGGGTTATTACAAAGCTTTGAAGGCAGGCTGTGTCTGTGTAGCCCTCTTACCTCATGGAGAGCTGCATGGACAACAACCAGGCAGCGTCAACAACCGTGCAACCATTTGGCGCAATAAATTCTGGAGTGACAAAATGCCAGCTCTGACAGGACAAATGGCTTCAAGTATTTATTTATTTGTTTTGCCTCTGATTTGGGACGTTCCAATGAAAATTCTTATTTTTAATTTTCCAAGAATAACAAAGTGAAAGAATAGGAGCAGCTATATTAGCAGCCTCATTTTGTTTACTAGCCCCCTTTTAAAAGACTGATTAAAACAGCTGCACCACTTCACACCCCCACTCCCCCCTAAGGGACACACACACAAACACACACGCATCTAAACCCACCACTTCCAGGAAAATATAAAAGGGTGTCACAAGTTAAAAAAAAAAAAAAAAGAGCAGGGGGAAAAAAAGAGAAAGAAATTCAAGGTTTATAAAGATTTAAAAACTTTGAAATTATTATTTTTTACTGGCGATTTTAAGACAGCTTACAATGGTGTGTATATGCCTCTGTGTGTGCGCGCGTTCGTGCGCGTGTGTGGTTAGAGAGACAGAGGGGTCACCTCCACCAGGTGTGCGTCATCTTTGTTCACTCAGAGGGAAACATGAAAGAATAGCGTGCACATGTCAGTCTGTTTGTCTGCGGGATTATGAAACGAAGCGCAGGAGTTGATGGAAGCTCTGAGATCCTTTCTTGATCCAAAAGGAAGAAGGGGAGGGCAAAAAAAAGAAGTCATGATCATGAAAATGATTTATGTGCTACTGGGTACACGCGCACCCCCAAGTGTGTGCGTGCGCGCGCTCAAACACACGCACACACACCACGAATAGATAAGAAGATATTAACCTTTCAAGTCATCTTTTGAACCGTCTCATTAAAGTTGCCCACTCCCCGCGTCTGATCGTTTAATCGCTGAAGTGTGTATTTTGTTGCTTATGGTTTCCATGCCTCTTAGCACCAACGCACTTGAAACTTGATCTGAATGGCAACAGCTTCATATTTCAAAACATTAAAAGCGTGCTCCTAACCCCTTTACAAATACATTTTTGTGTTTCTGAACTATGAATAGTTAATGATTTAAATTGTTCGTTCTTATTTGTGAGGCCGGCAAGACGATTATGAACTACACTCGGTATTGTCAGTAATCGAACTTGGTCCAACTGCATAATATAGCCGCTTTTCCATTAAAAAAAACAACAACTTTTAAATACTTGGTAAAGTTAATCGGCGTTCATTTTAATTAAAGGGCCTTTTACGCACATAATCTTCAGAAGTAAAATTTATTGCCGTTTGATGAGCGATCTGTGACGGGAAAAGGTCTGTGGCGTGCTCCTTTTGTTGCCTCACCTTTTTGATTGTGCTTCCGACGGGTTTCTGTCTCTCTGTCTCCTGTTTTTGAACCAGTTGCTGACCTGGGTCAAGGAGAGTCCGGTTATCTTGGCGAGATTTCTTTTCTCCGCTGGAGACGGGTACCTATTTTGATTATACAGATCCTTCAGTGCGTTCCGCGACCTCTCCTTGAAACAATAAACAGTCTCCTCGCCGTCCCAGATAGTCCTGGGGAGAGGATACTTTCTCCGGATTCGGTACTTGTCCACTGCGCCCAGGGGTCTACCCCGCGCCTTCTCCGCCTCGGTGTACCGCGCTTTGTACCACAGATCTTGCAGAAAGGTGTGGTTGGACGGACTAAAACTGTGGTTCTCCAAAATACTGTACAGCTCCTGATACCGAGCCTGATGGAAAGCTACGAGGGCTTGAGCTTTCAGGATGCTTTCGTTGCCCCGTAGCAGGTCACTCTGTGGCAGGGACCACAGGAACCTGGCCAGCCGGTCCACATTGCCTCCCTGCTGCAGTGCCTCGCAGACACACGCCACTTGCTCCGGGGAGAAAGCAAGAGAGGAAGCGGCATTCACCAACAGCTCAGTGCGCACCGCGTCAGTGCTGGGAGTCGTGCGCTCCATGGGCAACTCCGCCGCGTCCAGCGCCACAAGCTTGATGCACTCCCGCGTATCCACCTCCTTCACATTTTCCCTCTTGATGTCATTTGCTGTTGTGACTTCTCCGGCAGAAGAAGAAGACATTTTTTTTTTTTTGGTTCAAGCCTTCCCTGGTAAAGTCACTCCTCCCCGCTCGATCAGGTTACCTCCTCGCCATGCGAATGCGATCGGATATCTGACAGCAGCTGTAAGTAGATATCTCTCTCCCCTTTTCCTTCCAACGTGACTTTTACTCTGCGGGGACTGGAGCTGGAGGGAGACACGGTGGGGTCTATCTACAGGAGCGCCTCGCTATTGGCCGTCGAGGGCCCGTAAGGGAGGAGCGAGCATGGATTCAGACGCGAATGTTTGGTTTCCAGCTGTCAGTCATATAACTTCCAGTAGATTAAGGTAGCTCACCTGTGCAAGGTGAGTGCTTTTGTGATCGTGGGAACGGGATATCTTTGTTGTCTGTATTGTCAGGAGATCATTTGTCTGTAGGTATGCACATAAAAGAATGTTTTATTTCCATCTCGATGTATGGAAATCCAAACGGAAGTAATGCTGGGAATACTGTCACTCACTTTATTTAGCCAGTTTACATTTATTTTGACAATTTTAAAGTAACAAATGTTAACAAAAAATAGATATCAGATTTACTCACACTTTAAATTTGTTTTTATTGTTATTTCAGGAATGAAGGTAATAAAGTTTCAGCACAGATCCTGCTTTAAGTGGCTATTGCGAGGTTGTAGCCTACCCTCCCACCAAAGACTGGATCAGAATACTATAAGCGACCAAAGTAATGTCAGAAAAAAAAACAGCACACCCCTATGAAAATGTAGCCCGTCCCTTCAAAGATATCATATGAGGACTAGACCTCAAATTTCTCTCAAGAGTCGCTCATTCCCAAATCAGGTGATCTGTCTAGCATCAGGTAACAGGTGTCCAACACCACATCATTACTGATATTTGAACTTTAAATTGTGTTTTTATTGAATCTTTTATAGTAAAAGAGTCTCAGATCGTCTTAACAATTACTACCATCCACATATAGTCAATAAACTATTATAGCTCAAGCACTGGGAGGAATGAAAACTAAAAATATTTAAATATCAAACTAATTCCTACGAAGTTCACGTTTTCTCGCAATGATTTCATAAAACTAACTTAATGTAACTTACGAGTTGTTTCCCCAAATTCACAATCATCCAGAAACGATATGATGTCAGAAACCCAGGGAAACAATGTCTGGGTTGATTTTTGTTTTTAATTATGTTTCTGCTCAGACTTACAAGATCATATGCAAGTTTTTTTTGTTATATTTACTCTACTACTACTATTACTACTAGCTAAAGTTATTTATTTACTTAATTTATTTTACCTCGCTTCCACTGGGACTCCCTAGCAACCCTTGCATGTATGTGCGCCAGCAGCTATTTGCACCTCACCTCTAAAAGCAATCATTAAATAGGAACACATCTTATTAATGCCGTTTCCTGTCGGACCTCATTTTGTGTAACGCAGCGGTTCGCAGCTTGGAATCTGACAGGAGAGCTGCAGGTTATTGACGTGATTTGTTTTGTTTCTGAAGTGCTTTTTATTATTGCCATTATTTTTTTAGTGTGGTGCAGACAGAAATGGACGAACAGGGCTGTCCGAGATGTAAAACAACCAAATACAGAAACCCGTCGCTGAAGCTGATGGTGAACGTCTGCGGCCACACGCTGTGAGTATTCACACCTGACAGCTACAAGGAAAGAGCACAAATCCTCCACAACATCGCGGCGTTTCTGCTCCAGGCTGCTCGAAACGACACGCAAACACAAAGCACCCCCCAAAAGCAGCTATAATATAGCGTTTAAAACTGTTTCCGCACATACATCTCTAGTCTTAATTGGGGGACTTGGACGTAAACAAAACTGATAAGCCTCGAATGCTGACGGTTTGTTGGGCTAGCTCATATTTATAGTCTTGGTGTTAAATAGCTGTGTCATTGTAGACAGAAAGTGTGCTTTAGAGGTGGGTTATGTTTCCTGATAGAGCTACACAATTGCAAAGCTAGGCTAATACTGCTGGTAAACATAGTATAGCGGCCATTGTTTACATATGACCTACACTGGCTGTAAGCAGCTCAGCTTAGAGACCTCTGTAGAAAAGCAGACCCTGCAGTTGTGTCTTTGTGTGTGTGTGTAAAGTACAGCAAGTTTAGGATGGCAGGGGGGGAAGTGACTAATGATGAGGAGCATAAACACCCTGTGCTGAGTTTTTAACCACATAATGAATATGAATTATTCAGAGGTTTTTGAAAAGGGCCAGCTCAAAGGTGCAAATCAAATTTTTCCATGTTAATCTGCCAACCTAACTAAAAGCTACATTTTTATTTGAATGGCTGCATCTCTGTCACAGGTCTGGCTTAATTTGGAATTTGTCATTTTTGCTTTAAACAGAAAATATAATGCAAAACCTAAAGTAATGTATTTTATTATTATAAGAGGCAATGATGAGATGGTTTGGAGGGAGGATATGTTGGTTAAAGGATATTGAAGATGGAGTTACCTTGCTGGAGGAAAAGAGAGAAGCCACAGTGATGGAGGAAATGCAGAGGGTTGGTTTGACAGAGGATGAAAGGGACAGAATAGGGTGAGATGGAGGTAGATGATTCACTGTGGCTACCCCTAAAGGGATCATATGAAAGAAGTAGAAGATTATGATTATTATTTGCATAACATACAGAAATGGATGGACTTTCTGCCATTGTTTTACTAAGTGTTTTATCCTATTGTAAAGTGTCCTTGGGTGACTTGAAAGGCGCTCATAAATAAAATTTATTATTATTATTATTATTAAAAGTTAGCATGTTTCCATTTGTTCGTATTCTGCTACTTCTGTGCAGCAGCATCATGTAGATACTTTTTCAAACTTCGCTGTGCATTTTTCAGCATTTAACCTTGTCCGCCCTTTAAAAACCTGGACGTTTAAATGAAGGGGACATGTTCTCCATGAGCATTATGCAGCGACGGTGGTAGCTTGATGAGCACATCTTTTTCGACCCTGTCTGTTTATTGACCGTGCCATCAGGAAGTGGTCGTGCTTTGTCATCAGGTCAGCGGGCTCATAACTCACTGCCTCTGTCTGGATGCAGGACTACACACAGAAAATTAAAATGATTCTGCAATGAAGCAATTTGGAGAGATGTCCTAGCGCGGGTCACCTTGGATCTGTTCCTCAGAGCCGGTGCGACAGTGAATTTATGCATCACTTGGAAACTGCTGCACTCCCTAACCATATTAGTATTTTCATCACTGATGCTTTTTGGCTTTTCTTTTCTTTTCCCCCCCTTTTTTTTTGAAGCAAGTCTTACAGAAATGCTACAAGATCTGTAACTCTGATCAGTTTCAGAGTTATCCATTTTCTCATTTTTAGTCAACAACGCTCTTCAGAAAAACTCTACAGGGAGTGCAGAATTATTAGGCAAATGAGTATTTTGTCCACATCATCCTCTTCATGCATGTTGTCTTACTCCAAGCTGTATAGGCTC